GCTAGTGATTAAAAAAATCCTTCTGTACAATAATTCTTTATATTTCACTGGAACAAACTACATAATTTGATTTTGTTCTATCTGAGATCAGGTGGAAACCCAGGCAGCCTGGACAGCCCGATGGAACTAGCGCTGCTGCACATGATCTGTTTCCTTCAGAAGGCTCAGCTCGCTCAGTTCTCAGCGGGGAGAGCGGTTCCACAGCACAGCACAGGGAATGCCTTTTATTGAGTGAAAGTAACAATCAAACCACTTCCTGGAAACCAGCAATTTGCTGCCTAAGATGCAAACAGATGGAACAGAGCATTTGGCTGAGAACACCTGAAAAACAAATACGGGATTCTGGATAATCCCATATATGTGATAATGGCTGTGAGCACCTGTCCTGCGTTCTCACTTAGCTTTCACTCCTATTTTTAAGCGTGTCCAGTGCAGAAACTCACCCACGGGGGAGATTTGCTGGAAGATGTTATTGACTGGCAAACCCTCCTTCCGCAGAGACCAGCACTCCACGATGCTGCTGTTCTGGTTGGAAGCACAGAGCAGCACCTGCAAAGCAGAGACCCACGCTGCGGCCACGCGCCCCGGCTCTGCGATGGGGAAAGACACCGTCCCCTCGCGTTTCCCACCCCTCCCTCTCTGCTCCATTTCAAGGCTCCTTCTAATTAATTTCTATTCCACCAGCGAAAAGCAGAGGATGGTATCAGCAGTACATAACGGCAAAGTCCCCAGCTGCAGCTGGAAGGAAAGAGAGGCAGAACCCTGCCACGTGCTGTCCCAGCCTCTGCCTCGCCACATCACAAACCATCTCGTCTCCTGCCAGCCCGTGACCTGCTGATGCCACTCACACACACTGGGAACTAAAGGGAAAGGAAAGGGCAGGAACGGAACTGAGTGCGAAGGCAGAGCAGACACCGAGTCCTCCAGCACGGCGCTGCGTCCCAGCCCGGGGAGGGAAGAGCTGCTGGGCCTCATTGAACCACTTCATCCAGAATCTCATTATCAATCCCCCGGCAAATAGAGTTAAGCCACTAAATTAAGTCACGCAGACGAAGAGCTCCAAGTGTTCTGGAGAGGGGCTGCTTTGAAGCCAAGACTGAAAGATGAAAGACTTCCCATCCCAGAACCTCCCGGACAGCCCAGCAGAGCTCCCCTGACAGCCCGTGCCAGAGCCGGAAAATAAACAAAGCAAAGCATAATGAGGCTAACGAAGGACCGGGCTTTTCCAGGAACTGGAGGGCTCAGCCATTACACCCCCATTACACCCCTTTAAGTGCAGCCTGAGTGACAGCAGCGCTTCCAGAAACAGCAGCTACAAATACAAAGGACATCTCAGGACACAATCGTTCACCTCCAGAGCCATGTGGGGAAGCCAAAGGTGGCGCAAACAGCTCTCTCCCAGCTATTCATTTAACTCCTACTTGCTTTAACAGCATCTGCTCACCTGCTCCGACATGTCCCGGGCAAGGAATTTCAGGTGAGTGATGGCTGGGTATTTGTCTTTGCGGGCAGGGTCCGTGGTGCAGCGCATGAAGAGGGAAGGCAAGATTTCGGTGTCTATTTTGCATTTCTCATTCACCACGCTGACACAGACTTTGTAGAACTGGACAGGGGAGGTGCTGCTGCCGTCGGACGTGGCCACCACGATGTTCCCCCCACCCGTGAAGGCAACGTCAGCCAAGGCGACGCGACAGCGCAGGCGGCACAGGCTCTCTGTGGACGTCAGCACCTGCCCGTTGGGCTTGAGGAGGGAGACCGTCACCAGCCCACTGATGGTCACAGCGATCCAGCCCTCCATGGGCTTCCCACCAAACAGCGTCAGCGACGGAGAGAACTTGACCCTGGAAAACTTCTCGCCAAAGTTCGACGCTCCAGACTGTGAACAAAGGTCCACAACACAAATGTTTGCACCCGCTGCCCCCAGCGCGCTCCCAACCCCAGAACTCTCCTCATTAAGCCACTGCAGAGCTGAAGGGTTCAACGAGGGCACCGAGCTCCCACACCCCGCTCCGCTACGTGACCCTGGAGAGGCCCCTTTGCCCCACGCCTGAGTGGTCCCAGCCCCACAGGAACAAGCCAGCCCCTCGGCAAAGCTCTGAGCACCTGACAGAGCTCCAGCCCCACTTGTGGGGACTTACCCTGGGAGACCAACACTCCCTCTCCCTTTCCGGGGCCAAATCCAGCTCCGACACCCACCCACTGCACAACCCTTCACATCCCTGGACCCCAAGTTCTCCAGCACTAAAGAGAGGGAAAGGCTTCTCTCTGTGGGACACCCTAAGAGTTAATGTTTAAAAAAATATAAGTAGGTAACTTCTACTTGGCAGATTTGCTCTTTTTGAGTGTGACAGAATTAGACACGTTCCTGAACAAGCTGCTTATCTCTGTACACATATGGCTCCCATTCCCCAATCCCTGCATCAGACCTCAGGACCTCGAATAAATTTCTTCTGAAATACTACTGGTAGGCAAAAAAATGCTTTTATCTCCAAGGAAATTGAAGCACCAGACAGAGGAAGACACACTTAAAGCATTGAGAGAAACAAAGCATCCAACCCCCACTGAAATTCAGCAGGAACTAGGAATCTGACTTCTCCTTTTGCCTGGAAAACTTTCCCCACTCGACCTGCCCAAGGTCGTGGACGAAGCCCAAAGCAGAGAGAAACACAGGCAGGGGTTTCCCAAGCCCTTTGCTCAGGACCAGGCCCGGCCCATCCGACCGGATCCCCTGCAGAGCTGGGACAAACCTTTTCCACGTGCAGCGCCAGCTTCACGCCGTTGTGCAGCCAGGACAGGGCCACCACCGGGTCCCCTTCCACCGTGCTGCCCACCGTGTTCTCCCAGCTGTTGGCCAAGTGGTCGGTCATGCTCCAGCACTTGATGTGCCCATCCGCGTCCGCCGAGAGCAGCCGGGAGCCTACGACAAGGGCGCCTCGTAAGAACCAGGGGATACAGCCAAAAAATCAAGCCAGAAATCAAACCAGCCCAGTGCATTCAGAACGGAGAGAGCCAACTCACGGCTGCGAAGTGACGGACAAACCCCCTCTCCGTGACAAACTGTGTACCCTTGTGTTAGGAAACACACACACACGAAGGGCGGGACAGAGGGTAACGGAGAGGGATCCAAGCTCACCTGACTGATCCCACTCCAAACACGTGATGACTTCAGTGTGGCCAGAGTTAACGGAATAGACGTCCCAGGGATGCTCAGTGTCGATGATATGGACCATATGGGTGAGATCTGCACAAAAAGGTAAGCAAGAGCCTCAGCTGGTGCAGGGCAAGACAAAAAGTATCTTACATCAAGCAATTTTGGGAAGGAAAACAACTGTGCTTGGCAACTCAGGTGAGGTATCAGATACCAGGGCAGAGCTTGCCCTGCTTTAGAGAACAGAGAGTGAAATCAAACAGAAAAGGCAGTCAGTGATGAAAGGAACACTGAAAAAGTGCGCTCGTTTGTAGAATTTAACATCATCAAAACACTGAATGTAAATATGAACAGAAGGAAAAAGCTAAACCCATCAGTCAAGGTATTTCACCAAAAAAAAAAAGTGAGAACCACTCCCCAGCAAGGAAAACACTCAATAAATCTAAGGAGAGGAAGGGAAAGAGCAAGCACAAGTTTCCTGTGTTCGTTAGTGCCGGTGAGAGATCTTAGGGTCGAAACAGAGCACGGCCCAACTGGCCCAGCAGCTCCTGACAGCAGGACCTGCCCAAACACACTGTGAGTCTCCCGAGGAGGTTACCCAGCCTTCCACGAGCACATTTGTACCTTTTTCCTCCTCATTTCTGAGGTCGGTGGTGAAGGCGATGAGGTTGCGGCAGGACCAGGCGCACACCAGGGGGATGGACGGGCAGTGGTTGCTCTTCGGCTTTTTCTCCCACTCGCAGACATAGGCCAAGTCCATGGCGCCGCCGGCCCCGGGACCCCGCCGGGAGGGAACGGCGCTCGCTCCTCCCTGGAAGCAAGAAACGGCCAATCCCACGGGCGTCAGGCCGCGGGCAGAGCCCCGGTTCCACCGGCTCCCCACCGGGCCCCGCCGCGCCGCACCCTCGGCACCCGGGGGGGCGGAAAGGGCAGCGGCCCCCGGGTCCCGAGGGGTAAACGGGGACCCCAACCCCCAGCGGTGTGTGCGTGTGGGGAAAGTACGGCTCCCCGGGACAAGCCCCGCACCGGGAGAGGCCCCGGCGCCTCTCGCAGCCCGTCCCTCACGGCGGGGGGAGCCGGGCCTACCGGAGGGACGAGGCGCGGGAGGCCCCGCGGGGAGAACGGAGGGCTGTGTCCACCGAGACACCGACTCCGCGGCGGGGGGATTGTGTGTGGGGGTCCCGGTCCCTCACGGGGGGTACCGGGGGTGTGTGTGGGGTCCCGGTCTCTCACACACGGGACGTGACGGCCCCACTCACCGGCTCCCGCCACCTCCCGTCGCGCCCAGGACCCCGCCCCGCCCCTGATGGCTGCCCACCGCGCGCCTGCGCCGCGCCCCGCGCGTTCAGGCAGCGCCACGGACAGCCTGGGGTCCTCAGAGCTGGAGGGGAGAGAGCGGGGGGGAAGGCCCAGTCAGTGGCTCTCATTTGCATGGAGGCCTACCCAGAAACCATCGGTGCAGCGACGGCAAATAGAAGTTGCGAAATTGGGAAATTTTGGTAAAACCGGAGGGGAAGCAGGGATGGAGATATTGGGAAAAAATTTGAAGAAACTCTGAGTGTGTGTCCAAAACTACGTGGTGATCACCCTATCTTAAAATAGTGAGCATCTTGGAACCTTAAATACCCTCGCGGGGAAACACACACTCGTGCTCGCTTCGGCAGCACATATACTAAAATTGGAACGATACAGAGAAGATTAGCATGGCCCCTGCGCAAGGATGACACGCAAATTCGTGAAGCGTTCCATATTTTTGGCACCGGCCCGCACTCTCCTTTTGCCGACAGCGCCCAAGGAGCGCCCCCCGCGCCCCTCCAGTTCCCTCCCCATCACACAGAGACAGAGTCGGAGACCAGGAGCACCCTGTTTTATTGTTCTCGAACCCCCCGCCCGAGCCACGCAAGCCAACAAGGCACAGGGTGTGCTGGGGACAACCCGGGGGGGGGGGCCGTGTCCTCAAGGGGGGCAGGGAGCCCAGAGCAGCCAGCAAAGGCACCCAGGGGCAGGGGGTGCTGCCGCAGCAGTCTTGGACTTGGGGGGGGTCCAACTGGCCCCTTCCCAGCCCCGGCATCACCAGGGGCCAGGTCAGAGCAGGGACCCCCCCCAACTCACCTGCCAGCAGCCCTGGGGACACGGGGGGACCCCCAAACTGCCCCCACAGCAGCCAGAGCCCCCGTGGGGCAGACTGTGCTCCTCCAGCACACACACACACACACATATATACACACACATTAAAAAACACTATTTACATTTAAAACCAGCCCATCCCCCGGGGTGCAGGGAACAGGGTGCTGTGACACACCAGCGTGGGGAGAGCTCCC